TATGGATTTAAGACTTTTTGCCCCTTTTGGCCCATAATGTGATGAGTCAGCCCTTTTTTCTTGATATCATATAAAAGATCTAGTAATTCTGCACAATTTCTGTTCAATGTGTCTTAAGAAAATATTCATAGTTTTGAAGTTATGATAAAAAATGTCTCGAAAATTCACTCCTGATTCATGTCCTAAATTTTGACCCCTACCGAGCTTCCATACTAGGCACTTCCAGAAAATTTGAAAACTGAGGTGCACAACTAGAACATGTCCTCTATTATCACTGAAAATTTCAGCAGTCTAGCTTTTGTCGTTTTTGAGTTTTTGTGTAGACAAAATGGTCACTAAAAATTCGATTAAAGGGCGATAACTTCCGACCGGAAGTGAATTTCCAAAAAATAAAAAAAATGAATAAGGTTTAGATCATGATACATCATCTCTGAAAATTTCAAGTGAATCCATCCAACCATCTCTGAGAAATCGTCTGCACAAAATTTGGACAGAAAAAAATAATAATAATAATAACTAGATGCGATCTCGTTGCGAGCAACGAGTGGGTCTTCCGTCCGTTTTTTGATAAGATGAGATAAGAATTTGACTGAGACTTTCATTCAAATATAATGATATAAATAAATTGTTAAGACGAACAATTTTGCTTCAGTAATCTATAACAAAATGTTGATCATTAAAGATTATAGATTAAAGACTTTCGGCCTGTCTTGGTCCCTATTTTGAGGGGCCAGCCCTATTTTCTTGATATCTTCTTACAGCTCTCATGATTTTGAACACTTTTTATTCAACAACTACTCTAATTTTTTTTTCGTTTCCGAGATATCTGCAAAAGGAATAATAGGGGCCGGCCCTTCAACTCCTTAATGAGAACGTTTAGCAAAAATTGAAAGGTAACATATTGTTAAGAACGTTATTGTGAACATCTTTTATTCAATATTGCTTATCAAGATATTTCCCACTTTCGAGATATAAAGCGTCAAAGATTTAGCATTCTGGTCCCTAATGTCCCCTTATAACGTAACATATGATGCCAACAACGTTATATAGTTAAGGAGTGTGAAGATGATCTATTCTGCCTTAATAATGTATTACAAAATATTGATCGTTTAAGAGTTATTGATGATAGACTTTCGGCCCCTATCAGCCCTTATTTTGAGGGGCTAGCCCCTTTTTCTTGATTTCACCTTAAAGCTCTTATGATTTTGAACACATTTTGTTCAACAACTATTCAGAAATTCTTTTTCGTTTCCGAGATATATGCAAAAGAAATATTTAGGGGCCGGCCCTTCAACTCCTTAATGGAGACGTTTAGCAAATATTGAAAGGTTGCATATTGTTTAGAACATTATTTTGAACATCTTTTATTCAAAATTGCTTATCAAAATATTTCCCACTTTCGAGATATAAAGCGTCAAAGATTTAGCATTCTGGCCCTTATGGCCCCTAATTATGTAACATATGAGATTTTTATTATAATATATAGTTGTAGATTGTTCAGATAAACATTTTTGCTTCAGTAATGTATAACAAAATATTGATCGTTAAAGAGTTATGGATTTAAGACTTTTTCCCCTTTTGGCCCCTAATGTGATAAGTCAGCCCTTTTTTCTTGACATCATATAAAAGACCTAGTAATTCTGCACAATTTCTGTTCAATGTGTTTTAAGAAAATATTCATAGTTTTGAAGATATGATAAAAAATGTCTCGAAAATTCACTCCTGATTCATGTCCTAAATTTTGACCCCTACCGAGCTTCCATACTAGGCACTTCCAGAAAATTTGAAAACTGAGGTGCACAACTAGAACATGTCCTCTATTATCACTGAAAATTTCAGCACTCTATCTTTTGTCGTTTTTGAGTTTTTGTGTAGACAAAATGGTCACCAAAAATTCGATTAAAGGGCGATAACTTCCGACCGGAAGTAAATTTTCAAAAAATAAAAAAAATGAATAAGGTTTAGATCATGATACATCATCCCTGAAAATTTCAAGTGAATCCATTCAACCATCTCTGAGAAATCGTCTGCACAAAATTTGGACAGAAAAAAATAATAATAATAATAATAAAAGTGAAAAAGAAACAATAGAATAATAGAAGGGTCTTCCGTTGGAGACGGAAGACCCTAATAAAAGTGAAAAAGAAACAATAGAATAATAGAAGGGTCTTCCGTTGGAGACGGAAGACCCTAATAATAATAAAAGTGAAAAAGAAACAATAGAATAATAGAAGGGTCTTCCGTTGGAGACGGAAGACCCTAATTAACCCCCTGTCCTTCTCCCATAAACTCAATGGAACGAGTTTACTTTACCGGTCCCCAGTAAAACGCGCTAAAATATAGTGTCGCCGTAGGCGACTTCAGTATATATGAGATCGCGTGAGCGATCGAAAAAAAATTAAAAGTATGAGGTTTTTAGCCTTTTTGACCCCAAAATCGAACTCTTCAGATAAAAGTATAGTTTAAAACTTCGTTTTTAAACGAAGTTTTTAACCTCGTTTTCTGAAAAAAGTGATTAATTTAGGAATGACTCTAATTCTTGGCCAAATTATTCGAGTATAACGTGGTTTGGGTCAGTTTAGGCCAAAAAAAAAAAAATAATAGTCTTGTTTCCTGCTACCAGCCTGAAAAAAAATAGGGTAGGTAGGTAGGAAAATTATTTTATTTTATATTTTTATTTTATTTTTTTTTCCGACAGCATTTTTTGGATATGAACTAATACAAGATCAAATTAAACATGTCACAGGTCAATATTGACTTTTAAAATTAAATTTCGTGTCTTTTTATGCACAACTCAAGTGGTATTTTATGAAAGTCCATATTTAAAACAAGAATTTCATGAAATGCTTGTTTTGTGTTAACACAGAAACCGATTACAGTGACAGAACGATGAAATTCCAGAAATTCCCGATTTTTTTCTTCCAAAACTTAAAAAAAACTTTAGGGTCGGGTGCAAAAAAATAGGGTAGGTCGGGTAGCAGGAAACAAGACTATTATTTTTTTTGGCCTTACGCTTTATAATCCGCGAAGCGGATTATAAAACAGCGTAAACTGACCCAAACCAGGTTATACTCGAATAATTTGGCCAAGAATTAGAGTCATTCCTTATAATTTAATTTTAAAATCATTAAATAACTATGGGTGTAAAATTTCGTTACTTTTTATTAGTTCAAATTTGCCGCTCAATAATACAACCATAGTAACGGAAGTAACGGAAGTGATGGGAATCGAGGGGAGGTAAAAACTGATACATAGGCATAGCAGCCATGTTGTTTGGTTACATGTGGTAAGATCGAATTATTGTTTGAAATTAAAGGTACATTTATTAAATCTGGAATTTTCCATGAATCCCGAGGACTGGAAATGAGAGGATTGTATGGATACAGATGATTCAGCTGGTTGTCAGGGGGGTGTGTCACCATACCAGACCAGGTTATACAGAAATAATTTGTGTTCCTTTTTTGGATATTAACCAATCAGAGGCTAGTATACAAACAAAATTAAATTATTATTGTTTATTCAGTGAAAAGGAGACGAAAAATAATTGTCAACAGAGCGCGTGCGGCGCATGCTTAGTGCCGTTTCTTTCGTATTTAGCCATTTTTTCATGTAAACAAACCAAAGAGATGTCGTTAAAGCTGAATTAAGATCTTGCAAAAATACAGATGCAACTGAATATCTTAATTTATCTTTAAAAAAAAAACACTAACCCTAATCCCTCGGATGGTAAGCGAGGACTAACCCAAATCTCCCGGGCGGATGCTAGACTAACCCATGTGCGAGGACTAACCCTTATCTCTCGGATGGATGCGAGACTAACCCTAATCAGTTGAAAACTTGTGCAAGGACTAACCCTAATCTCTCAGGTGGGTGCAAGACTAACCCTAACCAGTCAAAAAATGTGCAAGACTAACCCTTACCAGTTGAGTGAAGTAAATCTTACGTCATAATGCAATGAGCGCGCGGATCTTGCGGATCTGGGGACCGGTAAAGTAAAGTCTACCCGACTCAATGTTAACAGCTCTTTAGGATACCAAACTACAAACATTCACTGGATATATAGATTTTGCAACAGGGGTTATATACAGGGAAAAAAACTTTTTTTTAGGAAGCTCTAAAATCCAAATGAAAAAAATGAGAAAAGTTTACATATTGAGTTTATCTAGTTCATTTTCTACTTAGGGTACCTGCCATATTTCTCCTGGAAAAATGTTCAAAGACAACCCAAGTGTTAAAGGAAATCATTTCTTGTGTACTAACATTTGGGAAAATAATTGCAAATAATTTCAATTTCTTTATCTTGGTTTATATAATAAGAATACTTTAACCTATTTAAAATAGAGCCATTTAGTGTAGATTTCCATTTATTTCATTTTACATGAAAGGACAGATCACTTTTACTTCTTCAAACTAAATTAAAACTAGAACTCCTCAGTGAGAAATGATTAAAGCTTCCTAATGATAAATAACATTTTTACCTCCGTTTGAAGGGTCCCAATTTAAACAATTTCACATATTTTCGACAAATTTTGGACTTTTTAAGAGAACTTCCATTGGATGGAGTATCCAATAATACCTATTTAACAATAGGATTTACCCAAAGCAATTTAATTTGATTTTTTCAAAAAAGTTCTCAAAATTACCGCGTGCCTCTCAACGGAAAGGCACTGAAGACATATCACCAACTGTGAACAACACTAATAATTTGCTCAACATGACATGATAATTTTTTTTTTATTTTAACGTGTTTTGCATATTTCTTCACATTAATATTTGAAAAGAAATATTATTGAACCTTAATTAGACTACTTCTTGTTTTTAATCATATCGTATGATTTACATTCACTTGCAAAAGACGTGGACGAATTCGCGCAGAGATCTTACCATGCTTACGGAAACCTTTTCTGTCGGAACGTTTGCGGCCCAAGGTCTTAATATTTGACACGACAAGGTTTGTTAAAGTGAATGTCCTTCTATCACAGACACAGACAAAAAGACAAAGACGTTTATTCTTAAATAACAAACTCTGACAGAATTGTTAAGAATTATCAACAAAAACAATCATACTCAGAAAACACTGTAACGTGTTACAATTATAATAAGAGAAGTCACAAAATAAAGAAATCAAAATGTACGTAAAACATAAGATGTCAATATTAGCCTGATGTCACAAATATCTCTCTTGTTTATCTATTGAGGAATATAGACCTATCTCTTAACATCTTGTTCAAACTTCAAAAAAGTCCACATCTACAAAACACACAAATACAAATACTGTCGAAATGAAAGGTTTCTCGTCTAAAATATCTCTCCAAGTTTACACTACGGTTTGCACACATATTTGTAAAATGGACTAGAAACATTTGTTCTATATAGATTTTAATAATATTTATTCCAGATAACCAAGAAAATCTGAATTCTTGAAAGACCCACTGTACATAAAATTCATTCACACAGTGATTATTTTATCATATATTCCAACTTTTACTAACAATAAATCTAAAGTATAGCTTGGTCTACTTAGAAAATTTTTAATCAATGTGTTGAAGACATCACATTTTGGAAAAATTTGATAAAAAGCATTCATACCGACATTTGTCTTTTAAAATAATTTCACACATATTTCATATCTGTACAATGTGTCTTTACATTGATGCACTGATATAAAGAACATAAATTTTGTATTCCATTTACAAATCTTTCATAGACTTAGAAATCAACAATGTGTGTAGAAAACTAGAGGAACTGTGAGTTACCTCTTGCTGCAATTTTTAAAATTATTATTAGCAGGATTTCTATCTTTGTTTTCAAAACGGAATAGTGTTTGTTATTTTGCATGGTATTTTCCTATCAGTGACCTTGAACTTGTCCAATGACTATGGGTTCACAATTACAACACATCCATAAGCAATAAGCTATCTTTGTGTCAAGCATGGATGTCCAATGTTTTATTTTCCCAAACAGTTTTTCTATCAGTGATCTTAAACTTGCCAAAATGATTAACAGTCATGATCTTCCCTCGGGTCATAAGCAATCTTCATTATTGGTGAAGCATCCCTCTTACAGTCATTGATTTGATTTTACAAAATTTTACATTTTTTTTCTACAAGTGACCCTGATCTTACCCAAATTATCCAGAGACAAGGTCACAAAACACTTTCAGGTGAAACACAATCTTTATATTTCTATGCAAGTTTCAATTGTTTCTTCTTTGCAAGATATGGCAAGGACAGGAATTGTACATTTTTATGAACCCTTGGGTCAAGGTCATGAAACCTCCAGGTCATAGATAATTTTTCTGTAAAGAACAAACTGTCAATGATTCTCTAAATTTAATCACCAGACACAAACTATACACTGTTTTCTGCCATTGACCTTGAATATGCCCAAATCACCTTGGCTTAAGGTCATGACAAGCCCATTAAGCCAAAAAAGTAAGAAATTCCAATGTTTCTTAACTATAGATAGGACACAATTGCACAGACAGATAGATGGACTGGGAGACAGATGGACAAGGTGTTATTCCTGTACCTGTCATTTAAAGGGAGACAAGTCAATTTCCTGATTAAAAAAAAGCTTCATTAACTGAATGTGATATACATCATCACTAAATAGAACACATAAGAATCTCCAATGTACACACACAAATAATGCCCAACATGTACAAAATGTTGCACTAGAACAAAATGATCACAGTTTTTAAATAAGAGAGATAACTCTTACACAAACATCCTTCTCACTGCAGAGAAAACAGCCCATGATCTACATGGAATTAAGTATAAAAGACATTGTTAAAATCTGAACAATAATTACAGACCTGTAGATGCATTTATATTGTTTTTTTTTCTCTGTGAAAATTATATATGGAAGTGGAAGAAGTACACCAAGACCAGGGAAGAAAGCCACAATATTAACAATGAAAGTCAGTAAACCTATATCTGATATAATGTAAAGAAAAATGAAAGGAGAGACTGATAATTATAAAATATGAAAGTTTCAGGACATTTCTGAAATGTTCTACATTTCACATCAAAAACAAACAAACAAAAAAAAAGAATTTCTTTCACTAACATATCTGCTTTTTATCTAAAAATATTTCAAAATGAGTATCAAGAATCCAAAGTCCTTCTCTGTAATGTAATGATTTTATGACAGATTTAACAGATTTACTTGTTACAGCCTACTTAAACAATGTAAGTTTATTAATACATACACTGGAGTCTTAATTCAAACACGATTGATGTAAAAACAATGTAGAACTTGCTATTGCTGAAAAAAATGAAAAATAGTAACACCTGAATATTTCCAATACACTTACAATATTAAACATAATTTAAAGATGAAAGGAAAGAATTCTTTTTCTTTTTAAAACTACTACACAGTATATTTCAATCTCAGATAAGTGGTCAGTTTTCAGTTATGATCATGAAGTTCTTAATGAACATTTACCTGTTTATTAAAAAAAAACAACAAACAAACAAACAAAAAATGATCAAACCTATACAAATTGAAAGCAAACTGTTTCTATTTCTGTACAAAGTATCACTTCTCCTGAATAATCAATCTGATTAGAAGAAAAACAATAGGCAATTCATCTCCATTTAATATTCAAACAATGGTATAAATTACATGTACATTAATTATTACACTCAGTCATGTAAATTTCATTACAGACAGATACACAGGAAAAAAACCAAAAAGGTAAAAACATCAGAATCACTTACAAAAGAAATTGACCTTTGGCTTATTTACAAGATAAGGTCAATCTACTGCCTCCATGTCAGTATATCCGAGGTCATCCGTGGGACTTGACCTGCTCTGGCTGTATCCAGAATCCTTATCCACTTCATCCTCCCCTGACACCCCGTACATCCTCTGGTATCGATGATCTGTCAGTAAAGGTAGATAAGGCAGGTTATCGACCCCTGACCCTTCACCAAAGTCATCCGGTTCTGTATTGTCAAGATTGGAGGTCACGACCTCATCATCAATGAGATTCTCATCCTTCATGTAACAAGGTTCTTTCTCAGCCTCATTATCATCTGATTTAGTTCCAAGTGAGGTGAAGTTTGCATTCCCATTTTGGTCCCCTTCCTCCAGTTCAGGGTTAGGGGAGATAAGCATGAGTGATTCCAGGGGCTCTCTTTTCCTGTAGAAGAGAAGATAAGCTCCCCGGACCACCACATTTTTCTCTCCACCAATGAAGGTTACTCGACTGTCATCGCACAATCTCCAATCTATAAATCAATTGTCATCCACATTATACTCTATTGTCAATGATAAAAATATTCATGGTTATGTCCTCAGCAAAAGCATGAAAAAATATATACTGACCCAGTTCATTTTTGGTTGGATCAATGGGATCAGGTGTCCTTACAAATGAGGTGTAATGTCCACCTAGGATCCCACCATAATGATTAACCACTGCATACAGGTCATATACAGGGGGAGATTTGTCTCCCCCTACCTTTGTGTATGGAGAAAGGTCCAAACCCCTGTTTATGGATAAATGAAATACAAATCATCATATAACTTGTTCTGAATACACAGTCCACTGAAATAGCATTGAATCGCACAGTAATAAATTCTGATGGAGATAATGCTTTTGGAAGAGAATGTCAGCTTGCTTTAATATCTATTTAATTCCTTATACCTGACTGGGAACTCCACCATTTTATCAATCTTGTCCCTCCAGATAAAGTTTCTGAAGGAGAACCTCTTTAACTGTATGATGAGTGTATGTGGGAGGCGCCAGATAGACATTTGTTTTGTGGCCTCTCGATGCTCCTTGCAGGAAGGACAGTACCTAGTTATAATAACACAATTCATCAGATATATCCCATAATGAGGCAACATAAATCAAGGCACAATATTGGTTTTATAACCGTCTTCTACATGTACATTAAAACAATTCACTTTTCAACCAGTTTAGAATCAGTTGTCCATTTCTTAATAGACAAGACTGACAATACATTAAAATAAAATCTAATTACTTAAAAATATATATGGTACTCAACTTTATCTCTAACATACTGCGTAACAATTTTTGGACATTATTTGGTCCTGTTTAGGGGAAATCCCACAGTAAAGCATCACCTTGTGGGATATACATGTAGCTTATTATAATAAAATTGAATATCAGTTTATATAAGACACTTGGATATCAGTTTATATAATACATTTGGATATCAATTTATATAATATACTGTAAATGTATTATATCAAGAGTGTACAATTTTTGGTGGAAATTGATTATTGAACAAGTTAGCGAAGATTTGATTTAGCACATTTCCAAATTTTCTTATCTATGTACATATTTGCAAGACATTTAGCGCTGTACTTGAATTAGCAGACGTTTCTTTCCGCCAAAGGCACTAACAAGAATACACAGCAAAATGTAATACATTTACAGTACAGTCAAACTCAACTGGACTGAGAAAAATTCTCAAGACATCCGAGGATTCAAGATACAGTATTGTGCCATATAATTATGAACAAACGTCGGCGATGTCACATAAACGGACGTAAACAGATGAGTTATAGGGAATGTTATAGCCATGTATAATACACTAAATTTTGATAATAAATAATAAAACTTACCTTAATATTTTGTAATATTGCCCTTGGCACTGACTACTTTAAGCAGGCATCTAGGAATTGAACGATACAAGTTTTGTATGTATGTTGTTGGGATGGCTGTCCAAATATGGCGGATTTCAAGTTCGAGGTCGGCAGCATTGCTTATATTTAAAATTCGTTGCTTCAATTTATTTTTTAATAATAACCAACAGTTTTCTATAATATTACAATCAGGGGATTGTGCTGGCCATGTCATCGAGTTGATGGCATTTCTCTGCTTAAATTCAGTAACAACCCGGGCCCGATGAACGGGCGCATTGTCATCTGTGAAAAATAAAATTGTTTGTTGGAAAATACCGAGCTACAACGGGCCAAAGTTCTGAATCAAGTATGTCTATGTATTTTTGTGCATTGATATTACCATCTACGAAACATATTGTCCCCACACCATTCCATGTTATGCATGCCCAGATCATCAAACTTACTCTGACCGGCGGACCAGGGCATAAACACTCAGACATCCAATCTTCACCCGGTCGTCTCCAGACCTACACACGGTTGCTTTCTCCTATTACTACCTTACATTCATCTGTAAATATCACTCTATCCCATTCTCCTTCAACTCTCCACAATCTCTTTCCTCTTGCCCATGCCACACGTTTTTTGCTGTTCTCGTTGCGAATACGGATCTTCTTTCTTACAATCCTCCTATGAAAATTATTTTCATACAATCGTCTCTTGACTGTTCCTACTGTGAAACAGGAGAATGCCTACCCTGATTGATAATATCCGTAATACCAGCTAACGGAACAGTACATTTAGTTTTTACGACTCTTAAAAGTTTCCTAGTTTCACGGTCGTCCATTTTTCGTTTTCTGGCACTTCTTGGGGCCCTTTCCACCGAACCTCTAGCTAAATAGCGCTGTACAATTGAATACACACTGTTCCGAGGAATGTTCAATTCACGGCCAATAGTTGCATATTTTTGTCCTGACAGATATTTGTCAACAATCATTTGTTTCACGGGTGTAGAAAATTCTTTGCCTTTCCCCATGTTTACATTCACGAGACCTTTTCGTTTTAAGGTGACGTCATATTTAACAAATGACGTCATAGATCGATAGTGGAAATTCTTAGCTATTTATAGAGGTAAGACACATGCATGGTAAGATTGTGTAATTGCGAAAAACTTTGTATTTTTTTATGATTCTTTCAAAATCATGACACTATTTGTACGTTTGTTCATAAATATATGGCACAATACTGTATCAGAGGCAAAATACTTAAAGAATAAGTTGTTGGGACTTTGACATATCCAAAGTATTCGAGATATCAATGTTTGAGATACTGAAATTCTACTGTATTTGGATATCAGCTTACCAGGCTTCCTCTGGACTCAGAATCTCTGGTTCTGTAAACAGGTCCATACACTGCTGGATATTAATGTTTCCTGTATCTGAAATTACAAAGACAAATTTCATGATATTATAAAATGTTCTTTAGTTTGTAGTGAAAAAGCATGCGATAAATAAATTGTACCAAACATTTTAAAATATGGGGGAAACCTGAATATGGTTAATATCTACTTTAAAAATATTTTAGCATTGATAAATCCCTGCAATAGAAATACAATTGTAAATAATGACAATCTTTAAGAAATCTAATTTTGAAAGTAGTACATGTATCCCTACTTCAAAAATTTAAGCCTGTTTTATTTTTAGATCTGGGGCAATGGACAGGCCACAATAAGGGGCCAAGGTTTAATATACTAGTTTATAGAAACGATTCTTTTAAAATCTACAAATGGATATTCAGTATCTTCCATTTCTCTTATTAATTTTTAAGCATCCTCCTAGCATATTTTCATTTCTTTTGACAAGTCATAGCCCTTTGTTTTGGATGGGATGATACTGCAAAATTTTTATCAGAAATACGAAAGACTTCTTAAAACACAAAAAGACTACAATTTACAAACCTGATATAGACTTGGTCATTATACCATGATTTTATATTTTTGAAACCATAGATTTCAAGACGAAGGAGTTTTATTCATCTAGATATTTGTCAGGGAGAGGGATATTATTCAAGTGAGTGCTGTACCCCTTGGTCCCTTTGTTTACTTTCATAACTTTTAGATACACCTGTATGTGTACATGTATACAGTATTCAATAGATTTGGGTATCTAAGAACCTTCTAGATCTCAAATTTAAAACACGTACCTTCATTATATGGAGAAGAGTTGCTTGGATCTTCTTCATACTCCTGAGAATAAAAAAGAGAAATTATTTTACTTATTATAGGAATCAGATGAGTGTTAACTTTATAGATATGTTTCTGTTATTATTAACTTCATGTTGGCGTATTATTTTTATTCCTTTCGGTCTGAATAATACTCACCATATCTTTGGTTTGTACCAATACATAAGGATCAAATTTCTCATGATTTTTCCAGTCAATAGAGAGAAATTGCTTATATGTAAGATCAAGAGGTTCATCTCCTGTAATTATAAACAAGCATTCTGAGAGTATTGCATTAGCAATACTAGTCCCCTACCGGCAAGTGTAATCTGGTTCCGTTCCTGTTAAGAATTGAAAATGCCAAAATTCCGTCAAAAATTAATGAAGCGGGACGAAATGCAAACATGATCTATAACTAATCAAGGTAAAGCCACATACCAAAAATCAGCTCAATATCTACAAGCGTTTAGAAGAAAATTGCGGAAAACCCGTAAAAATTGAAAAGGCAGTAATTCCGTCAAAAATCAATGAAGCGGAACGAAATGCAAACTTGATCTGTAACTCATCAAGATACACTCACATACCAAAAAAACAGCTCAATATCTGCAAGCATTTAGGAAAAAAGTGCGGAAAACCAAGTGGGACAGACTGACAGAGGGACAGACAGACGGACAGACTCAGAGGAAACCTATAGTCCCCTCCGGTTTCACCAGTAGGGGACTAATAAGATTATATCTCTGTATTTACCAAATATTTCCCCCTAAGATTCTTTGCAAATTAGAGAAGGGTTCATTTTCTGATGAACTACCATGGATGAGCATGAACACCTCCATTGTGACATCATCATACCACACTTGACATTAAACTATGGTGCAAACAGTGTTGTTTCAAAAATTAAGGAATAGCTGTCTAATTTTTTGGTTTCATGATGTGATCAAGCGATTGACTTGCATGATAATTTGCATAAATGCCGAAGGCGTTCATACATAAAATTATCATGCAAGCCAATTGTTTGATCATCAACATAAAACCAAAAAATCTGACAGTCATTCCTTATAGTTACATGCTCTTGATTCCATAAATTCACGTGCTATTAGCCCCGCCTGCTTATGTCTCTCTCTGTCCAGCCCCGCACATGATTTTTTTAACCACGTCATTCGATGAACCAGTAGCTTTATGTAGAAATCAAGTATTTTTACTATTTGTAGCTTTATCTTGGACAAAGAAATTTAAAAAATATAAATATTGATAGTTGAATGACATAATTTGTGGCAAGTCATCATATTTAATTAATATGTAAATAATGTAAATATAAGTTATGAATTTAATTTTTGAAAATTCATGAGGTACATGAACTACAATGTTTTACACCTGCAAATTTATCAAGAGCATCAACACACTTCATGAAATATGCAGATATTGTTCATGTCCCCATGAATTATCACAAATTTGACTCATTTCTTAAGTAACTACTTTAACTACTGTAATACTACATATAAGGAGGGTATATAACTGTGGTCTAGTCAATATATCAGAAATCTACTTTATTTAACTAATGCTCCTCTTTCGGTCAACACTGAGACTGATTCCTTACCTAGGTCCTCCAGCCTCTCCCCCTCAGGTCCTCGGATCCCCACCCCATCTTGATTGACAGGTTTCATGTAAAACAAGGGCTTTGCTCTCTCCATCTCGTCTGACTTGATGCCTAACACTTGCTTGGTGGGAACAGTTTTGGTCTTTTCTAATTCAGGTTCATTGTCAGAAGAGGATTTTCCAAATTGATCTTGTTCGTGGCTGCAAAACATTCCAAATCTTGCTGTTATAAAACACAAGTAATTCCAAATTTTGATTTTTTTATGAATTCAAATCATTATCTGATGGGTGTTTTAAATCATTGAATAAAAAGATATTTTCTTTTCATGATATTCAAAGAATTTAAGCTGTAAATACATATTCAGCAAGCATTCAATCCCAGCACTTACATGGTTGTGTATCTTAGTTTACAGGGAAAAATAAACCATCTACCGGTACACATAATACTTACGTTTTAGGCATCTTAAAAGAGGAAAACTCTGGTAGATTGGGGGTCTTGAAGGAGGCTGACTCTGGTAAATTCCCCTGGTCCTCCTCCTCTGGACTCTCCCTCAGGTCACTGCTTAGATCCACGTCCCCTGATACGGGAGAGGACTGAGATCCACTCCCACTACCAGCTGAATCCAGGGAGGAGATACTACCAGCCTTGGCTCCGATACTAGTGGAGGATCCATCACTCACGTTACCCATCTGTAGACTGGAGTAACTGTTATCGGTACTCATATTAGCCTCACTGAGGTCCAAAGACTGAAACATACGTTCATTTCACTCAGCAAGTAAAACAGAAATAAATAAGTGTGACTGTTGCAAAATCAGAAATCAGTAAATATCAAAATTCATGGCTGCTCACTGTAGTGAAAACTATTTCACCATTAGTTCAGAACATAAAATATTAGTAAAATCTATATTTTATATTTAATCTTATATATTGCCAGAATTAAGTACCATTTATTTCTTTCGTGAGAAAAGTGATTCATATTTTTTATCCAAAATATGTATTTCTAATTTTACATATTCTATGCATTTTTTCACCTATAGACATGCCATTTTCAAGCAAAATTATTCTAGGTTTATTACTTGCAATTGAATTCAACAGGGAATGGAAAAATTCAAAAAAAATCTATGTTAGGTACCTTTTTCAGTAATATTCTACAAAAATCTAATCCACTAAAAAATAAATCTTCCATATAAAAATAAATCTCTCACACAAACATGTACAAATTAAATTTAGAAATTTTTTTATCCTATTTTCAAGAAAAAAAAAAAAAACCGTCTGTAATAATAAACAAATGAGAATCAAACAACAAACATAACACAATCTGAATGCTACGTCTATCTGTATTAGCATCTCACTAGATTTGTATCACCGATGAAAAAATCCACCTTATCCTCGGAGGGTCCCTGTTCTGCTGTGATTGTACAGGAACTGCTACAAGATGATTGGCTATCCAGACTGTTGATACTTCCACTTGATTGGCTACTACTACTGCTCATGCCCGAGGAATGGATCTTGTGCTCTGTCTTGACTGGGGGCTGGAATACATCAACCGAGTACCTTGAATGAATGAATTGCAACAATTAATTTCAACAGTGACTAAAAGATTTCATCAAAATTGTTACATGGTCATTACACACTATATGGCAAAGAAAGATATCCATCATATTAATATACAAGATACTAGTACATGTAATAAAATTATTTTTTTTGCTTATCTAATGGTAGAACATATGTAACTATTTTCTTCAGAAAGAAAGAATCAATAAACAGGATAAAAAATACAGGAAACCTGAATTGTATTTCGTTCCCAGCATGCAGAGTGAATTCTTTTTCTCTTCTCCATGAAATACGTACCTAGCATAGGCCTCCATTAGTGTACTGAGGCGTGAGAAGGTGGCTCTGGATTCCGGAATGCTGACGATGAACGGAGACCCTACAGGCTCGGGGATCATGTTACAGTGGTTCTTATGTAACATCCAATGGTTCTTCTGACAGGTACTGTAATGTCCACAAAATAATAACTAAGCCGATTTCATTCACTACACCCAATAGTTATGTACATTTATACACTGAGGATGTCAATGAGTATTTGAGTACTCAGCTATCATTGGTCTTGCCCATTGCTAACTATTTTTTTTCTTGTTAAAAATGTGCAATTAATAATTTACTAAATTTACGATGATAAAGCAGGTGAACTAAAAATTATATAATAATAATTCTTATAATAATAAATAATAATTCAATTCAGAAGCAGGCAGTAGAGGTATTTCTACTCAATAAATGCTTGTATTGTGATACATGTTGTACTGTATGTGACTGTAGCTTGATACATGTATATTAAGTGTACAAGGCGTCTGAAATGGACATGAATTGAATTAACATGAGAAAACATTTTTAATGAGTACTCCACTATTGCTCGACTTAAGCCCACGATTATTGGACTAGGCTATCCAAGTGAAATTGACATCCCATTATACACAACACTGTGTGTACATCCGCAAAAATACGAAAAATTTTCTTGTTCATTTATTTGTAAGATGTCATGTATAGCAAACCTAGCATTCCAAAACCTCACAAAATTTCGATAAAATCCAATGATACAAGATTATAAACATATTTCGCAGACAGTCAGGCGAAAATCTGATTTTGATCTTACTGGACAAGAGAATTACAAAGATAACATGACTAATGTTCAGATTTTAGGTAATGGTTCTACTTGTGTAGAAAAGTTTGAATTTGACGCCTTTACAAAAAATTCTTTTTAAGTACCATATACTGGGTAATTTTGCCATCAGGAATGTTTGGCAAATATTGTTTAAAGAGGAGGTGAAATATTGGTGTTTTTATATTTTGGTAGAATTTCAATTCTAATACCCTGTAATATAACACTGTATGATTTATAGAAATGTTGCTTTATTTTTTTGGCGAATTTTTTTTGATCTGACAAAAAAAAGAAGTAAAATAAAAATAACTTTTGCAGAGTGCCAAAAGTACTTGGTATGTGGTACTTTAATATATAATCTGTATTCATCTTTTCATTTCCCACTAGGTACATGTACACTTAGATGTCACATCAAACTTACTGGTCACAATATCCCACTTTAAAACATTTGGTACACCTCTTTAGTTTAGAGCCATCAGGGCATGGGCGACGACATGAAGAACATCTCGTAGGAACCTGGTTTGGCATTATTGTTCTCTGTAAACAAAAAAATTGTTAATATTATCAACAGGTTTTTAGTTTTTCCACTTGGTGAAAATCTAATACAAAGTAATAACAACCTTTCATGAAGAGCTCTAAATTCACCATATTTATCAAATGAGTTAGTGTCAGACAATTTTGAGATATTAAAAGTATGTTGCAGAATTTACGTCATAAATTTATTTTTACTTCATAACCTTGAAAAATTAATTCCATATGCATGGCTTACTTGAACGACATAGATCTCATGGACAGGTTCTCCTGCTATGTCTTCTGTCAAAACCTCCGATCTGTAACAGAAAATCAATTCATTAACCTTTCAAAATATAAACAGTCTTTGAAATACACTCAGTCATACAATTTTACAACAGAGGTATTACTTATTCAATAGACACCTTACTTATTTTGCAGAATTAGACTCTTACTTGATTCATGGAGTACACATGTATTTGCCTCACACACCTTATCACTTACATTAATATTGTGTCATTTGATTGGACTGTACTCAGATCGGTCCCTTTCCCATAAAATTTGTAGATCTTCCCTTTGTATGTTTCATATACTCTCATCTGCATTTAAAATGTTCAGAATAGATATAGGAAAACCTTAAAACTCATTTCAACAGTATGTCTCCAAACATAATTTAAGAACATCATACATCTTTCACACATACATGTAATACTTTAATATAGATAACTTCGTAATACTTATAGATAACTTACAGCTGATGGTTTTACTCCCGTCTTTTTCGAGGCCTCTTCTTTCAGGACTTCTGCAGTACATTCTTTAGGCAGCCTCAGAACCAGCTACAATACAATTATAGTTGACTTCCGGATCTGGAACACTGATATCTCAAATACCATGGATATATAATTTGGAAGCCCCTACTTCTTATTAAATTTTACTCTCAATATATTGAATCCTCACATATCTCAAAGCTTTTTCTCGGCCCCATCAAGTTCAAGATAATGAGGTTTGATTGCATTTATTGAAATATTAATATTAAGGTGGCATTACAAGAAAATAGGTTTATGTAATTAAGTAGTACATTCAACTGCCATTTCCTTCCTACTAGAGAAATTTGTGGTTTGGATATTCATGTTCTATTCTAGTCTCACTATGAATATACAGTCAAATCTCATTCTCTTGAACTAGATGGGACCGAGAAAAAACTTCAAGATATCTGATGATTCGAGATATCTAAGGTAAAATACTTAGAGACTTAGTGGTTGGGACTTCCAAATCAGTTCGATATATCCATGGTATTAGAGACATCATTGTTTGAGATACTGAAGTTATACTGTATATCTTACCTGCAATGGTTTCTTATAAGGATCCTTCCACATAAATATCACAGGTAACAAGCGCTTCTTCTTAGGAAGAGGAAGTGACAGGTATAAAAAGGGGTCAAAGGTTATAGAGATCTGAAAATAATGGGAAAATACACGTATTACAACTCAGCTGTTCATCAACAAAAATAAAGACTTATGTTGTTTCTTTCAACAGAATACAGTTCAACTAAACAAAAGACACTGAAGAAATGAAATGCTGTGACTATAAAACAAAAAAGAAGAAGAATATCACAGACCTTTCCACAGATAGGACAGGTCAGCTTTGATTTATACTGCCCTTGAAAGAGATCCACAATGAAGGAGTCATTTCTTTTCTTGTACATTTCCCATGCTTCATCTGCTACTACCTAAAACATCATATTTCAAAATGATATTATCATGACTGACTTCAATGAACAAATTGAAAATAAAAATACAGTGAAACCTATCTAATCTAACACTGGAACACATTTTTGTGTCAGAACAGACAGGGCAGGGTGTCAGATTACACAGCACAGTGTAGAGAAAATGGAAAATAGTAAATTGGGAATGAAATAAAAGATTGGAATTCAATGAAATGGATTGCACAGGTGTTGCATAAGACATTTGGAAATTTTTCATATGCACATTTTTTAAAGTCATAATTATTCATTATATCTCAAATGTCTCACAGTAAAATATGACTTAATAATGATAAGTTAATACCTTCAACAAAAGTTACAATAACAAATACAAACCTCATCTGGCCTTCCATCCGAGTCTACAGTTTCTGTATATGGTTTATCCTTAATCCTGTTTAGGTCCTGTATAAAAATTTATCATATTACTTGAAGTCTCATATTACTTACATATGTTTATTTTCTTTTGAAAAGCGGGGAAGGGTTGTGTGAAAACCCTTCCTGAGCTGCAAAAATTTTTTTGCATTTGCCAACCTCCTTCTTTTTTTAATAAATAAAAAAAATTTTTTTGTTGTCATAGAAATTCAATTTACATATGCATGTACATTGCACTGATTACTTATTTAAGTTATTTCAGTAGATAGTGCATCCAATTAAACAAACACACCTCATGGAGACCATCCAGAAAGAATGCCATGAATTCCTGAGCATCATGCTGGGCAAATCCATTAAACTGACTAGCCTTCTGTGCAATTAAACTCTATAAACAAATTGAACGATATTATATAGTACATGCTGTATCACACTGTTGAATATTCAAAACGCACACTGTTGAATATTCAAAACGATTCTAAATTATATGTAATAAGTCTGCACTATAAAATCTATCAAACATCTGGGTAAATTACTGAATACATAAATACAGTAGTAATTTTGATACAGAAAATCTTTAAAATCTACTTTTAAACAACCAGAGTTCTTTAATTTGATTTCACAAATCAGCATAGTTTGTGGTAGATGATACCTTCAGTTTAGAGGGAGCATAAGAGTAATGAGTGCCTGACCACAGCATTTTAAGTAGAACAGCATAAGAGACAGCTAGCTTGCCTCCCATTCCTAGGGGATTATCTGTGTTAATGTCATTCTGAAATCTGGATTCTAAAAACAGAAATAAAAGCTTATTTATTTACTACCTCTTTATTTGACTTCTCTATCTGATTATTTTTTCATTTCCATTGTTGAATACCAAGAATATAGTTATGATTTTAAATTTAAATAAAATATCCTTTAACCTAAAGATATGGTTGTAATAATTAAGTGGGATATTATATTCTGGTGCCTTTGTGTGTTAATTCATACAGACTGTACTGTCAAAATATGATTTTAATACCAAAAAAATACTATTAGTGAGCAAAATAGTCTCTGACCTATGTCTGTGTTAAACCTTGAACATAGTAAAACAAATACACATATACAGGATCAGTTATCCATTGTTCAAAAGTTGTTGTGCAAATTAAAATTATCAGACAAAGATTAAAAAACCAAAATAAAATGCCCCCTTCCCCAGTCTTTGATTTCTGAGATAAAATTTATATACTATTCTAAAAATGGTTTATTACGTAGAAAGAAATCTCTGAACTCTGTGGTGTTGGATAATGCCTGCAGTACGCTGTTCATGAAGCATGTATTGCCCAGATTATCCAATCCTGTCATTCCTGGCCGGACACACTGATCCATTAAGTTCTTGTTCATTGGTGAGACTTTACATGTGGGCTTCTAAAAATAGACAGGGAAAACTGGAATACAATAATGTATGCATACTATCATCTACAGATATAAAGCATTATGATTAGAAGTAAATATTTCCAGGGTTCGACACTAACTTTTTAAGGCTTTAGTCCGGCCGGACTAGTGCTCCTTTACTTTTACTAGTCCGCACGCGATTTTATGAGTCCGTCAAAAAAAAAAAAGAAGAAACATCAATGTTTCTTAACATTAATTTAACGTGACAATTAACATACGTTTTATACTTTTTTGAAATAAACAAAGCATTTACGTGAAATATATTTTCTCACAGATTCGTTGAAATGTCGCAATCAGCAAGTACGATCGTATTCCCGATCTCTTTTTTTTTCTCTTTACATTAAATCCAAAACGTCCAACAATTTTCTTTATAGTGTCATACTAAATCATGATCGCTAAAACCTTATACTTCATATTGATCAGTCGAAAAGCGCTGAGTTGACTCGGAATTGCGTAACTACCCGCCAAAAGATAGAAATCTAAAAATACGTGCTAGGTTTTCCAGTAAAAGTTGTGGAGAATCGGACATGGGTAATTTATTCATCTTGTTTTTCAGAAATTTTTATTGGTCCGCTCGGACTAATTAGTAAGAGGTTTTATTAGTCCAAATGAAAATGTATTAGCCTGAGACTAACGGACTAACGTTAGTGTCGAATCCTGTATTTCTAATTCTTATTGTCATCATGACAAACTAAATTTCATTGCAAACTTTCATCAGTGATTGTCTAAATTAAAGAACCTAAAAATACAAAAAAAATTCATTCTACATGATACATTTCCACTTTAATTTATAGCAACACACTGTATGAAATACACTGTATCTGTACATTCAAACTAATTACAAGACTTAGTACACATATCTCATGAGTTTTGAACAAACAACTTGCCTCTCTTGTACAAAACACAATTTGAACATACCCAACCACTCATCTGTACATACGAGGTCTGACAGCTCATCTCACCTGAACGTAGGTCTCTTTACTGACACCAGTAGCTCCCATTTCTGAGGATTTGTTGTCCACCTCAACGTCTGATTTCTTGGACACGCCCACTTCTGCGAGTTCGTCAAATGCCACCTGTCCTGTGGAGGGTGATTCAGGCTTAGTGGTCATGGTAGATGTGGAGGGAGATTTATTTTGACCTGTAGAAATCCATCCATCAGACCTTGCTGTGCTAGACTCGATGGAAGCTGTTGCTAAAAATTAAAGCAAAGCTTTGTTGAAATGGTACCCTAGTTGCATAAAACATGTTCATATACCTACACATGAAGAAATTTAAATAAAATCATCAGCATATACATGTAATTTGTATCAGTATAATTCTTAATTCATGAAACTTCCACATATTTTCTTTATTAAATAACTCCTTTTTTGCTTGGTTTACTGCTTAGTGCTAACCTTTGTGTTGGCTCGGCTCTAGTGAACTCCATCGTTCCTGCTTGATTTTAAACATTTTGACCTCTAGCATACTTCCTGATACCCGATGTACACACTTGTCTGGTAAAATCTCTCCTCTGTTCAGAAAAGATTGCTATTATATAGTTATTCATGTATATGCACAGTGTGTAAAGAGCAAGGTTCACTTAGGGGGGTCTTTTGGCCCTGGAAATTTCTGAAAAATCAAAATTTCCCAATTTTAGCTGAAAGTGCTTTAAATATTATTTGAGTCTTGGTGACTACATATCTACTTGTTTAAATGTATGACAGAGAGGGCCATTTTATACATAAAGTGAACCTAGGTCTTTAAACATCATACATGTATATGCATAATCAAAGCATCGCAATTATGAACTATTAATGTAACCATTCAATCATTTCTTAACTTCATTATATGGTCTGTACAGTGCTGATACATGAATTCATACATGTAATAACAAAATATCTTGTTATACTGTAATTACCAAATTTTAATAATTAAAATGAATGCCCTATTCTTTTACATTACCTGTATTCTATAAAATACTCTTTCCTAAGATCACCTTTAGAATTCCTATTTTATCTGATAATGTTCAACAGACCATGGTACTTGTATGCATCATTAATTACTACAGTAACAGGAACATTGATATTTACTTTAAGTTGACTTTCCAGATGAATGTTGTTTCATCAGTTGTTCCTGGGTGTAACTGTAAAAACTTCTGATCTCTGAAAAACAAAAGGTACATGTCGTAAATCACTCTAAATTCCTTGATTTAACTCCGATTTATTATTTAAATACTAGTACAGAAAATGACTTTTGCACGAAATATGTAAAGCAAATGTTGCTCAAGAAATTTTATCTGAATTTATCGACAGCTTATTGTAAGTAAAATTCCATTTGAGTGGCTCCATCTTTGTAAAGTAAAAGATAATGCATTTAATTAAAAACTTAATGAAGTGTACATTCAACAGAGATGTCATTTGCTTTTTTTTGGGGGGGGGGACTCTTAAACATTGAAATGACATATTACTGTTTTTTAGTCTTCACTTACAATGTCTGAAATTGGATAGTCAGATTCCATGGTTCACAGAGTACTTTAACATAGTCTTTCTTCATTTCCTTAACATACACATGTAACGTAAACAGGTTGTCCTGCAAGAGAGAAAATACATGTACCATGTGTACACTGACACACATATACTGTTAAAGTTTCTTCAAATCATAATAACTGAAAATATATGCAAGTACTGCACATACATGTACATGTAGCAGTCTTCGCTAAATCTTCTTTTCAGTACATGCCCTTCGGGCAGGTTTAACCACTTATTACGCTAGCCCGAACAAATATTTACATGCCCAGAATTTCATCAAGTAATTTTATTCTTATCTGCCTTTTCGTGCCAAGGAAATGATCCGATATCCATTTCTATCGATCTATTGTCTCACCATTAATATTGTTTTCAACCTGTACACTTATTGTGTCTCCTTTGCAAAGGAGTTCCTTGGAAGTCACGTATTGTTTTCAACATGTGTACTTTTTTTTGTCTCCTTTGCAAAAGAGTTCCTTAGAAATCGCGGTAGAATAAACTATCGTTAAAATTTTATTTGGTGCTCCACTTTAGATGAAAAATCAGACTTTTAAGTACATTTAATGTTATTGGTATTATTTAATTTGATAATATGATCGAGGCTTAGGCCTCAGAATTTACATGCCCTTCGGGCTTGTAAGTATGCAATTTCCAAATGCCCGCTTCCAATTTTACCAAGTCCTGGGCTTCGGACTCCCGGGATTTGTTGAAGACTGATGTAGAAAATTTGAAGAAAACAAAATCTCAAAAAAAAAAAAAAAAAAAAAAAAAAAAAAAAAAATGAATAAAGCCTATGCATAAAAATGTCTTATAGCATGGATCTTATTAAAGTTCCTACCTGTAATATATATGTACAGATACCATTTAATGATTTTATTACCTAATATAAGAGTTAAAATGACATATGTATTAAGGTTGTGTCAAGAAATAAATCTTAAATATGACATGAAAACATCTTTACAGAAAGATTTTCCACATCAAACAAAAGAACAACACATTACTTAGTATTTCATACATTTGTATTTACCTTAAATTGGAAATATACAAAGAGCATGCGAAAAATGACATTCAATTTATAATTCTGCATTGAGTGTGTTGGTATTAATGTTTCATTCTTACCTTCTCAATATAATCGTGTTTCACATGATTCAGCTCATAGACTGGTTCTAAAAACATTAAAATTTACTATTTTGAGTTTTCAATATAATCGTGTTTCACATAATTCAGCTCATAGACAAGTTCTAAAAACATTAAAATTTACTATTTTGAGTTTTCAATATAATCATGTTTCACATGATTCAGCTCATAGACAGATTCTAACAAGAGGCCCATGGGCCACATCGCTCACCTGAGCACATTGGCTAGGAAAAAAAGCAAAAATCAGTACAGTATTGAAAAGTTTACAAGGGGGGGGGGTGTTGAATTTTAAACTACCTGATGATGCTTTCATATCAATATAACAAATGGCTTTGTTGTTCTTGAGCAGCAGATTTTTTTTCCCATATATTCATTTGTAAAAATTTGATCCCCCATTTTGGCCCCACCCTACCCCCGGGGGCCCTCATTTGAACAAATTTCATTCTACACTACCCAAAGATGCCTCCATATCAATTTGACTAATCATGGCTTTTCTGTTCTTGAGAAAAAGACTTTTTCCTATATATTCCTCTGTAAACTTTGATAACCCATTGTGGCCCCAACCTATCCCCTGGGTAATGATTTGAACAAACTTGAATCTTCACTATCTGAGGATGCTTCCATATAAATATGACCAATCATGGCTTTACTGTTTTTAAGAAGAAGATTTTAGAGATATTTTCCTATATATTTCTATGTAAAACTTGGATCCCTCATTGTGGCCCCACCCTACCCCTGGGGGTCATGATTTGAACAAACTTGAATCTACACTACCTGAGGATGCTTCCATATAAATATGACTCATCACGGCTTTGCTGTTCCTGAGAAGAAGATTTTTAAAGGTTTTTCCAATGTATTTCTATGTAAAACTTTGATCCTTCACTGTGGCACCGCCCTACCCCCGGGGGTCATGATTTGGACAAAGTTGAATCTACACTACCTGAGGGTGCTTCCATATAAATATGACCAATTAGGGCTTTGCTGTTCTTTAAAAGAAGATTTTTAAAGGTTTTTCCAATGTATTTCTATGTAAAACTTTGATCCTCCACTGTGGCCCCGCCCTACCCCCGGGGGTCATGATATGGACAAACTTGAATCTACACTACCTGAGGATGCTTCCACATAAATATGATCAATCAGGGCTTTGCTGTTCTTGAGAAGAAGATTTTTAAAGATTTTCCCATATATATTTCTATGTAAAACTTTGATCCTCCATTTTGGCCCCGCCCTACACCCCGGGGGTCATGATTTGAACAAACTTGAATCTACACTACCTGAGGATGCTTCCATATAAATATGACTCATCACGGCTTTGCTGTTCTTGAGAAGAAGATTTTTAAAGGTTGAAATTGGCCCAGTGGTTCTTGAGAAGAAGTCGAAAATGTGAAAAGTTTACAGACAGACGGACGGACAGACGGACTACAGACAAAATGTGATCAGAAAAGCTCACTTGAGCCTTCGGCTCAGGTGAGCTAAAAATATGACCAATCATGGCTTTGCTGTTCTTAAGAGGAAGATTTTGAAAGATATTTTCCTATATATTTCTATGTAAAACTTGGATCCCCCATTGTGGCGCAACCCTACCCCTGGGGGTCATGATTTGAACAAACTTGAATCTACACTACCTGAGCATGCTTCCATATAAATATGACCAATCTTGACTTTACTGTTCTTAAGAAGAAGATTTTTAAGAAGAAGATATTTTCCTATATATTTCTATGTAAAACTTGGATCCCCAATTGTGGCCCCACCCTTCCCCCGGGGGTCATGATTTGAACAAACTTGAATCTACACTTCCATATAAATATGACCAATCATGGCTTTGCTGTTCTTAAGAGGAAGATTTTGAAAGATATTTTCCTATATATTTCTATGTAAAACTTGGATCCCCCATTGTGGCGCAACCCTACCCCAGGGGGTCATGATTTGAACAAACTTGAATCTACACTACCTGAGGATGCTTCCATATAAATATGACCAATCTTGGCTTTACTGTTCTTAAGAAGAAGATTTTGAAAGATATTTTCCTATATATTTCTATGTAAAACTTGGATCCCCCATTGTGGCCCCACCCTACCCCCAGGGGTCATGATTTGAACAAACTTGAATCTACACTACCTGAGGATGTTTCCACATAAGTTTCATCTTTCCTGGCCCAGTGGTTCTTGAGAAGAAGATTTTTAAATGATGCCATTATTTTTTCACTAATTCCTAATTATCTCCCCTTGAAAGAGGGCGTGGCCCTTCATTTGAACAAACTTGAATCCCCTTTACCCAAGGATGCTTTGTGGCAAGTTTGGTTGAATTTGGCCCAGTGGTTCTTGAGAAGAAGATGAAAATGTGAAAAGTTTACGACAACGACGACGACAGACAACGGACAAATTTTGATCAGAAAAGCTCACTTGAGCCTTTGGCTCAGGTGAGCTAAAAAACATTAAAATTTACTATTTTGAGTTTTCTAAGGCCATCATTAAAAAGTTGTTTGTTTGCCCTCTCCCGACCAACTGGCTAAAAATGGCCCAACTTAAAAAAATGTTTAACCTTCAGAAAACAATTATTTATTTTATTCATTCCAGAACTTTTACATTCCATCAACAGCTATTTTATTTTTAAAAAATTGGCAATGATGTTGAAAATTTCTGCAAAAAATAATTTTCCCACCTACCTACGGACCTAATTTTTTTAATCCTGAGTCGGCAGAGGGCAAACAAACATTACTTTAAAGATTGGCCTTAATTGTGCATTTAAAATATTTAAATAAATATGTCCGAAACAAATAATTATAATTCCATTAAACATCTTTTTTTCTTAAGGAAGCTCTAAACACTGTACACTAAAGAGTTCTATTTGTAGCCTAAGGGTAGTTTAATTGAGTTAGAGTGATCTGCCCTTAGAAGAAAAAAAGAATAAATGGGAATCTACAGTTAATGACACAATTTCTTATGAATTAAAGTATTCTTAATGTTATGTTAGATCAAGATTAAGTAATTGAATACATTATTTCCATTAATTTTTCCGATGCAAGTAAACAACAACAGTGATTTCTGTTCACAGATAGTTCACTGTCTTTGAACATTTTTTCTGCAGAAATAGGGCAGGCACCCTATGTTGAAAATGAACTAGATACACTGAATATGTTCACCTTTATATGATATATTTTTCTCAAAGTCCAAAAAGCATTTTTCATTAGTGTTTAGAGCTTCCTTAACATGTACTATAACAATGTAATTATTATTTTCTATTGATATAGGTAAATAATTCCTAATTAAGTTTTACAAAAAAAAGAGAAATAATGATAAAAGTTAAAATGATTAAATGCAGCCTTTTAATTTGGTATATAGCTTGTTCAGTATGTGTTTTCTAAGGTCCATATATCTGGGGACCAAGTTCACTAAAGGGTTTTACTTGTATATAAGAATCGAAGAGAATGTTTTCCATTAAAAATATTTTAGATCATGCATTAGAAATAAAAATTGAAAAATACTCTTACATGTATCTCTGAGGAAGATAATTTTATACATTATGTCTACTTTGATTTTTTTTTTCAATAAAGTTTTGATACACAAATTTTAAGGAAATAAAAGCTTTAAAAAAATAAAATTTTACCGTCTTTATCTCCTTCTTTGTCCCCTGTTTGAACCCCACTGTCTGTGTCCTCTGTCTGAGAATTAACAGACATAGAGGTCACACTGCGTAGGGGGTCAAACATTTCTGAGGACCCTGAGGGGGAACTCAAAGGTGAATCCGGTGAATCACAACTGAAGTCAGACTTAGCAGCTTCCACAGGAGAGGCCTGTTAACAAAAAGGTAAAACTTTATCATAAATCTTTGTTTTTACCCTTGGGGATCTCTGTTTATCTACATGTGTAATAATCATTGCAGTTTTAAAATGGCAATATTTTGTTAGGTAGAATGAAGATTTTCAATTTTCTACTTTGTATAAGCAGGGGGAAAAAAAAAGAGAGAAATGATTAAAACTTAATCATATTTGTAATTTACAAATTTAATCAAAATGAATGATGCATAAACATGATACACAACAAGTATCATAGAGAACAATGTTTCTATTAAGTTGTAAAGGTGTATGAGAAAACAAGACCTAGTCATACTGCAACATGATAGTGTAGCTTTAAAATTTCTAATAAAGCTATAGAACTGTGGTATATGAAAAAATAAACAGTATCCTGACTTATTATAAAAAATTTCATAAAATGATCTTTCCTTTGAAATCCTTGTATACCACTTTCAATCAAACAACTCATGAACTGAACACATTTCTATCCAATTTAAATTTAATGACAATTATATCAAAATTTTGTTAATTAAACTTGAACATTTAATTCATTCTGCAATAATATAATGAATATACACTTATCTCTAGAATGTAAACATCCAGATGGCTGTCTCATTTTAACGACTTACCATTAAATCTTTCCAAATGCCTGGTTCTTTCTTTTTAACCTTGAGGATGACCTTGTGTTTTTTAATTTGAACTTTACACTTTTCTCCTAGCACAGGATGACAAAAGTCACAAGTCCATTTCTTCCCACCTAATAGTTATAATTAAGTTCTCATTCCATAATCTAAATACAAACTCACAATAAATTTATAATTAAGTTCTCAACTTCTCTTTCCATAATCTATACAAAACTCACAATAGATGTAATTTTCATTGAAGTATTCACAAATATTCACAAGAGGTATTTACGGTATATAATTTTAACATATGATGTAAGGAGAAATGTCAAAGTGCCTATTCATCCTTTAAAAAGTAATGGAGGCTCCATAAAGGCTTAGGCATACTGATGTCAATGAGCTGTGTTCAACAAATTGGATATACTGTAATCCAACTTTAATTCGTGTGCGAGAAATATCCGCGAGTTTCACAACATACTTAAACTCGCAAATATTAATCGCCGTGAACAATTCATTTTGCTTTGTATTTATAGAGAATGTTTCCTCAGTCGCCAAAATTAATCATCACGGATTGATTTCAAACTGATGAATCGCAAATAAAAGAGGACACGAATAAAAGAACTTTGGTTTACAGTATAGATAAGGGTAATTTCTAGATCTTTATGTATTGTAGATTATATAGGGATGCGCAATTTTATTCGTATACCGGTATATCATGATTTTTTATTTCGTGATACGTATCGTGATATGTAGACTATACTGGTATTTGGTACATAATTATAAATTCCAGAAATTATTCATATAATTGTTCAAACTATTAAACAATTACAGGGAGTGTAAAGAATGTTGAAAAAGGTAAACAATGGCATCCAAACATGCTTATATTATAAAGATAAAAATTTAAAAAGTGAAGCTATGTTTTTATAGCAACTTTGTAAGAAATATTACGGAAATTCATTGGAATTTGTTGTAAAAATTATGTGTAAAAATATCACAATATTATCATGATATTCTGGGAAAATATGGTGATATATTACTATACGAAATTTTAGGCGATACCCATCCCTAGATTATATGCATGTTGCTCCTATTACATGAAATCAAGATTTGAGAATGTTTTTCATCCACATTTTTTCATTTTTAGTTTTATTTTTTGCCCCACACATTACTAGGCAGCATTCAGCACTCATCATAATCTAGTCTTATCATTTGGGCAACCTAGGTACTGATCTCAGGTCGCATGAATTGATTTCAGTTTGCCCAAACAAAAAGAACTTTCAAATGTACAAGTACTTTCAATTTCATAGAGATATTTATTTCCTTAATATCATTTTCAGAAAAGGATAAAGAAAATTAATGGGAAGGTAACCCTATTAATTACATGTATAACTTGTGTTTCTACTTAAAATATCCGTTCTATTTGTTTGACATTTCAATAATTTCCTATTTTGTTTGATTTATTGGATTCAGTAACAGTGAGCTATTCTGTGGCATTCTGAATTCATGTTTTTTGATGGAGTCAATTCGGAATGTTGTTGACCATTTTTAACCCCCTCCCCCCAAAAGCAAAAAGATAATTCTGTCCTCATAAACCAGAGGCCAGGGAAACCCTTGTTCCAAGACTATAACGTCTTCTGATTTTCTTTGCAATTTTTCTTAGGTTGTGAAGACGGACATTTCTTCATTTGTGGTAGAAAGGCTCACATGATTTTTTAATCAGATGTAACCTCTTGTATAATAAAATGGAAACAGTAACCAGACATTTCAGGAATATTAAAGGGCGTCTTCCATTATTGGAAGAATGTCTAGAATTGCAATGAATTTCATTCAATGAATTTTCGCTTTTCTAAGTTTTAATGTATGTCATATAATTGAGAATCCAAACTTGTCACCAGGATGCCATTTGGGGAACTAAGTTAATGATAAGTTCACCCAAAATCACTTTAGGATGGAAATGACTAGGTGGTGAGGGTGAATGTGCTTATACCATGTATACTACAAAAATTCTCAACTGTCCATTTTGAAAACAAAATTAATGACAGACAAGTGATTCAAATATGAACATCTCAGGTATGATCAGGATATTTCTTCTACAGTAACAACAAGGTATCTATTAAATAAAATACATTTGTCAATTTTTGTCTATATCCAAAAGTAATCATTTCTACACATTAAATAACTTTTGAAATCTTATTAAATACTGGTGAAATTACATGTATATTCATTGAATTTAGAATACAAATGCATACTTGGAAATCCTATGACAACGTCATTATCACTAAACGTCACGTCGATGTCATCCGGCTCCTTGACCCCCATACTGAGGAAGTCAACTCTGATGTTGACCTCAAGTTCTTCAGTCGACTGCTTCCAATCAGTGTCAAAATCTGTAAAAGATAAAATGTTTCAATTAGTTTTTTTATCATCATTTTTACATAATGAACTTGTTACTTATATTATTGTTAGCTTAGCCATTTGAAATGTCTAAGATATACACGATTCAATTTTTTTGTTTACTGCATTATGCTGAGCTTCCTCGTATGTAAAGCATATTTTAAGTCTGGTCTTTTTGACAATGTTGTTCATTTTTTGTCAATCAATCTTTTTATAGAATGTTACCACAGGAAGCTATAATAAGCAAGTTATTCATAGTTCATTTTTCCTTGTTTATGTCAAAAGACGAACTTCAGGAAATACTTGTTCTGCATGTAATCACAATCAGTGGTGGAATGCCAGCAACAATATGGATGTAGGATGGCAATACATGTTCATGTATGTACTGCTATGGGCAGACCCGATATGAAAGTTATTATAGATATATATGCTTATCAGCAGGGCTGTACTGTTGATGATACAAAAAAATTTCACATGTATTTCCTTAACATGTTTTCTTCCCATGCATAATGCTTTGATGTGGGTAACAGTAGACACAGGACTAAGATACTAAATGTTTTATATATATCTCATAAATCATTGCATCTTGATTAAACCAAGTTGATTATTTTACACTTACACCAAATGGAATAGTTCATCAAAATTAATCACAAAGCAAATCACATTGGTGAAAAAGGAGTATGACAAACATAACAAATGGACAATATAAATCAACAGTGAAGCATTTTAGTACTTAAACTGTTTTTTATTGATACAAAATAATAAAAAAAAAATAATGATACGTGACCAAATTATTAAAGCATACATTATATGTTGTTCATTTATTGTTTTCTTATACTAACTTCCAAATTCCTGTAATAAGAGATTCACTATCATGATTATAGGTCCCATACCAATAGGTCCCAGCTTATGCTATTACAGTGTTTCCATTAACGCAAATATATGCGTAATTGCATAAAAATACTTATTACCCCATAAAATATCACCCAAAGGGTCATCATGAAGCAGAAAAAATACGAGACAAATTTTTAAAAATCGAGTTCAATGTTGTTGCCTGATCAGTCAGGGGTGAGACTGAAATCTGTCTTGCTAAAAAATGATGGATAATCGTCATGTTTACCAACTACTATTTTCGTCATTTTTGTCAATATGACTTACTATATATTTTCATTTTCAACTTAATTCTTCTATCCTGGTAACATAAAAGCGAGTTTTGAATTTACTGCTGAAAGAAGAGTGTTTACGCGAGTTTCATTTCATCCGGGTCACTAATTACTGCCGACCGCGTGCCTTAGAACATAACATGGAAGGTGAAAGTTATTATTTTACCAGTAAAATGTCGAATTTTGATAGAACTAATTCGTCACATTTACATGGCTTTTAGCCCTATAAAAACATAAATTAATTAACTTTCGAATGAGCTATCCAATTCTTAACAGAACCAAAAGTAAAAAAACAAAAAAAAAAAAAAAAAAACACATCTTATAAATTTCAGTTCAGCTCAGTAAAAAAAAAAGGCTTAAGATGGTAATAAAAAGGTCAGCAAAGCTCAAATAGTTAAGGAACTATTTTGCAAAATGTTCAAACATTTTTTTTAGATGTTGCCTCTTGAAAGATATGTATACTCTAAGAGACCCAAATGGCAGACTAAGTAGAATGTGTAAATAAAACAAGTACAATTAGGCCTATAATATTGTTTACTTTCATATTCTTAAAGATAAAAATATGATGTAAGAAAAAATAGCTAGTTTAACATTTGAAAGCAAAACCAGAATACATTCTGACCCTCAAAAAATTCTTTTTTAGTCCCAAAGTAAAATTCAGTTCAAATGGTCATAATGACTCTTGGTTTTCAAAGTTAGCGGAAACACTGCACTACTTTAGAAGTAGATTCTCTAAACAGGTTCGGCACAATCTCTTGATTTAGCTATATAGCTTGATTTATCTATATAGCTTTATTAAGCTATTCAGAATAGCTTGATTTAGCTATTTTATCACACATTTTCCTTAAATGTGTTATTTTCTCAGCATGCTCAAAAAGTCGCACTTTGGTGCAGTGATAATATTCAACCTTGAACTCTTCTGAAAATTATGCATGTAAAAATCACTCACTAAATTGTGTCTCCTTAATGTAGCGTTCACTCATGCTACACATATGGATTAAACCCGATCGACTCAACACTCCCGTCATTGAAGACATGTATTTATTGAACCGGAACTAAGACAAGGGTGATAACTCAACATAAAATTAAACATACAGAAATAGAGTTATCTTTCTTACATGAAACACTTACAAGTACAAACACTTCACTTAAGAGACTTTGTACTCAAAGCTCTAAAAGTTTTGTTGAAAGTATAAAAGAGGCCAATTTAGTCAACAAGATAATTGATTGGTAATGATTCAGTAAAATGAGAAGCAGTCATACTTATCCACACCTCAAAGCACACAAGGTGGTGTACAGTTACTCAAACAATGGAAATTCATCTTTTGCATAAAAGTATTCAAATCGACAAATGCTGCAATGGTAGAACTATCTTTGATTTCGGTTGTTGTTTTGATAGCCCATAGTACATATATGAATAGTCAAATACTTGAGACTTTTTATCTATTTCTTACAAAAAACATTTTTCTGAAAAACTGCATATAAATAGCTTTATCAAGCTATTTTGAATAGCTTAATAAAGTTATATAGCTTTTTCAAGCTATATAGCTAAATCAAGAGATTGTGCTGGACCTGCTAAAGAGAGAAAAAAAATTAAGGAAAATATCAATATTACAAAAAAAATACTAAATTAAAATTGAGTACCATTTTCAAAATCTTTCTTCCTTTTGGGAGAAAGGGCAAAATTGGGCTGCAATGTAGTGAAGTCTTTGTTAGACGGGATGTTGGGGACGTCGTCTGCCACTGTTGTCATGCTGCTTAACACACCGTCCGTGTGTTGTCGTTTTCTGGGTGTTTGCTCTATTTTTCCCGTTGTCTATCACACGACAGAGCGACAGAAAATTCCAGTGGCAGAAAATCAGAATGTGTGGATCAGCTGAATCACAAAATCGTTAGTTTCTGCCGATTTCGTTTCGTCTAATGACCCAATATTAGAAAAAAGACGATATGATCAATCAAATATCTCTAACATCCCAGAATATTATTTTTGTGATTTTCTATGTTTGAAATTTAAAATGAAATGACTTAAGAAATAAACTTATAAATAAAAACTATGAATGTAAGTTAAAAAATGCAATGCTATTTCTTTCTGGAATTATCTTTTTCGTCAGTTAGCAAAACCTCAAATCTCCATTTCGCTTAGCCAATTAATTTCCATGTTACATATACCAATCGGCGTGTTCTTCAACATGGCGGATGATCAAGGTATTTTTTTGCCAGCGGGAAAATGTTTTTGCTTTATTGTTATTTAACATGTCTTGGTCAAAATGCTCGTGTTTGTAATTAAGCTAAGTATATACGACTTACTTATGGCATTATCTATATTCTGAGTCATTCGACTCGTCAAGACCAAAGTGAAAGTAAAATGATGTGTGTGTTAGTCTTAACCCAGGAGTCGGCAGTTTTATCCATAAAGCAACGTTCACAATAACCAGTGAGCTTCGCGACGCAGCACAGTTAAGGCTGCAGTAAGGAGGCGGGGCCTTATTTATACGGGAAATGCTTACTATGACATCACACAAAAAAATAAGTTCTTCAAATTACCACAAAATGAAATGATTTGCTATTTTAAACTGTTGAATAGCTTTAACAGGTCTGGGCGGCCTCCGTTTTTGGAGGATAGGTTAATTCAATATGGCGGCCAAAATTTTTACCATATATGGAAACCGCGTTGCATTGTGGGATAGTTTATCCTCCGATTTCAGAGGATAACACAGGTAATTTTCAAACACCTCGTGCCTACCTTTAATCAAAAAGTGCAAGCACCAGAGTACATGCAAATAAAAGTTCAAACATTAAACTATCGATTGTGTGTGGCGATTTGAGATTCTATGTCTAGATATTTTGCAATTTATTTTCAAAGTTAGCACTTTTTGCACTCCACTATTACTGAATATTTCTTGTTGTTTTGTTTTATTTCTTATGATTTTCTCTATTTAAACAAATAAAAAAGGATTTTAATGTTTCTTTTATATTTTCTTTTAATTCAAAAAAAGGAAACACAAAAGGAAACGCATTTTAAGGGTATTCAAAACGCAAAATATACTCTGCCTTATAATTTAAGCAAATAAAAGTATAAACAAATTGATAAATGGATTGAATGAATAATTATAAAAATAAATAAATAATTTGAATAGTATAAGTAAATAAAATAAATAATTTGACATGTTTACTAAGACAGTCAGGGGTGAGACTGAAATCCGTCATTTCTGAAAAATGGTGGATAATCGTCATATTTACTAACTACGTATTTTCGTCATTTTTGTCAATATGACTTACTATCGTCATATTTTCTTTTTCAACTTAATTCTTCTATCCTGGTTACATAAAAGCGAAATTTGAATTCACCGCTGAAAGAAGAGTGTTTACGCAAGTTTCATTTCATCCGGGTCACTGATTACTGCCGACCACGTGTGTTAGAACATCAACATGGAAGGTGAAAGTTATTATTTAGCGGTAAAATGTCGAATTTTGGTAGAACTAATTCGCCATTTTTACATGGCTTTTAAACCTATAAAAACATATAATACACCGTCTGGAAGAATACCTACTTGTAGAGAAAAGTCTCGACAAAAAGTTAAAGCCATAAAAAAGTAGTGCGCCCCGTAAAACAAGCGAGATATTTCAGTGCGCCCAGACCCTCCATTTTGAAAAAAGACGGCATATCGTCATTTTCGTCTTCTTTATTATTTAATGCAAATAAATTGACAAATAACTCTTCCACTCTTATTTTTGCTTGGGAAATTTGTACTGTTGACATAACCAGTATTGTAGTCAACTGTATTAGAGAAATGAAGTTTGTTTACGATGTTTTTTGTCCTTTTTTCGGTTGGTGGATCTAACATTTTTCAAAGAGAGGTAACTCGGTATTCTAGAAACATTCTAAATTTTTATGACTGTTTTTCGTCATTTTCTTAAAAATGACGAGTTTAAGTCATAATAAAAATTTTATTTTATGACTAAAAATCGTCATTTTAAAAATGACGGATTTCAGTATCACCCCTGACTGTAAGAAATTAACATATATTCATACAGCCGTGTGTATACATAAACAAATAAAATATTATAAAGTGATTCTTAAGAATTATTAAATGAAAGAAATAATAAATGATTCAACTTAATTTTTCAAAAAAAATTGTTTATCAAAATTTCTAAACTGCTTATCACATAATTACGGTGCTGGAAAATCAGCGTGGTTATAATTAACTTCAGTCACAGGCAGGTAAGTGCAATATTTGTTTTCCAAGCTGTATACCGAATAACTGATTGACGGCAATTACAAAAAAAGTTATATTTATGTAATATCTGCATTATCCATCATCATATGAAATTGAACCTTTTATTTGTTTTATTTCGAAATCAGCGTACGGTTCATAAATGCAAGAGTTGCTGTTATTTGTTTGGTTAGGAGTTAACTGCCCTTAGTTTTGAAAATTCCGGTAGGTGGCAAGACTGCTATCCTCTGTTTTCAGAGGATAAAATCTATCCTCCAAAAACAGAGGCTGCCTAGACCTGTTTAAACTACATCAATACTAACTAGTGCATGCATTATTGTTGTTGGTTAAATTCTACACAGCAATATATAAACAATTCACTGATCGCAATGCACTTGTCAATGTGACGTCATATCGTAAAATCTGACGCAGTTTGTATGCAGTGAGAGGCGGATCAAGTTATATTTATACAATGAAAAATGTATTTTGTAATTAAATAAAATATATATTGTAGATATATAAGAGGCCATTAACTTGGATGCAGTGTCTATTTTATGATTTTATTCATATACTTCCCTTACATTCCCTAGACAAGCGATACTGTCGTATATTTGTATGCAGATTCATTGAAGGGTATTAGAAGGGTCGTAATAAATTGATATATTGCAAGGGCATACCCTCAATGAATTCTGACAAGCTTTTACACATAAACTCAAGAAGTATGAATATATTTGAAAAATGCTGCGAACCTGTTAAAATCTTGCAAATGAATTCATTATATCTATATTTAATGTACTTGACCAGCAAAATATTCAATATACGGTCTAACAAATGTAATTTTAGCAATTAGATAGAATCTATATAGGTTCGCAGAACTTTTCACAAACTACAAAGAGTGTTGAAAATAATTATATGTTAAACTTAGATTTTTAACTTGGTTATGCCCTTGCAATATTAGAATTTATAGATGACCTCAATACTTCAGGTATATTTGCTAAGATCACGTGACTGCCACATCACGTGACAAGTCTAAATAAGAAATCTAATCGTCCTCAACATGTAGTTTTCAACCACATTGCATTTGTCCGATAATAGTAAAGTCATAAAAAGAAACGCCCATCTTTGTAAAGAATGTATTTTCTATCTTAAAAATTCGCCCGATATTTCTATTTGGCACCTTAACTGTACTGCGGAGCGAAGCGTCAGGAATGCAACGTGTTTTTAGCAATTTCTGCTCAGGTGCTTTATTTAATAAAACTAACAACAACACGCAGTATAATTCATGTCAGTCGATGTTTTTAACTTGATTTCTGGTCTGATTGCCCTCTCAATCACCGTACTCAACCCTTAAATCTACCGTTAACGACATCTAGAAAAGAATCAGTTGCCATGAGGGTTTGCATGACGTCACGCTACTCGCTCCTGAAGTATTACAAGTTGAATTTTATATGTAAATTATTTAAAAATACATATAACGTCTAATTTATTAAATTTTGTGACTTTTAAGAAAAAATGAAATTATAGTT